ACAACATATTAACTTCATACTCATCAACCGGCAAGCTAATTCCCTCTACTCATTAATCGCCGATGGAAACCGTCGCACGACCTCCTTGGGCCGTGACACGTGGATAAAGCTGATTGGTTCACAGGCATCGTTACAGCCCAATTGCAGCCGAGAGGGGTTTAATGTGAAGTGCGATGGATCAGGAAGACCGAAAGCTCGCATTGGAATCCTCGGAAACAACGAGAACGACTGCAACACTTGTGACTCCAGAGTCGGGTTCGGCACAGGAGGTAAGCACGATGACTCCAACACCTGCGGAAGCGAAGCTAAATATGGTAATATACATATCAAAGCGATGGGATACATTTTGGTACAATGAGATAAGAACAAGCAATGGAGATGTGCTTCAAGGTTGCTGCCGAGTTTTGTAGGGTGCAACCTTCCTGTGCATTGTATGACGCATGCAAGTAATCTTGATCCTCAGGGACTTAGTTCCTTGACTCAACACTCGGGGCACAGGACACTCGGCTCCGCATCCGCTGGGGCTGGGAACGAGATTAGTGTAATAGCCTTGCGCTCATTAGATAAATTATGCTTTCTTCTTTACAGCTAAAGCTCGCTATTGAAAGAAGTAAATTGTTACTTTTTCGAAAAAAGTATGTGGTGACTAACTGTTTCTTTATATCTTCTTTCTTTGAAATGAAGGTGGAAAACTTCTCGGGCGATATGGGAAACCTTAAAAAACTCGAATTACTTGCTGCCTAGATAACTGGACGACGCAGTAAATGAGTAGCTTTAGAAAAATTTTACGGTACAATTACATTTATATCTACAACCTGACCGTGAGCATGTCCCGGAGGAATTTGCAGTGCGGACGTCTCATTAGGACGAGTTAACGTCAAGAAGCGCGCGATTGTTCATTCAACTGGCTATGATTATTTATTTATTTATTGATTTATCTAACGATTTGCACACTAATTACAATGTACGGATATAACGAATAATAAGACATTATTTTTCCTACAAGATTCAACTACCAGCCCAGCCCTTTGGTAATAATTAAAAATAAGAAAGAAAAAGAAAACCCTTCCCCGATCCATCAACCAAAACTAAATCAGTTAACTGATTAATTTATAATTACCAAGTGCATGCACCATATAACTTTACTCTTCTACATTTAGGGCAAATAATCTTAAATGAACGAACGTTGCCCCCATCGAAAACATTTTAAAAACGCTTAAAAAATTATGATTTAAGTTGGCACTTGAATGAACCCAAGGATTCAGCCAACTTCATATCATCAGGGATACTATTCCACATGATACAAATTCTACTAAAGAAAT